ATTACTTACTGAGCATCCCTCCAATTTTGTTTTGAACAGTTTAACATGTTTGTTTCATATAATATCTTTCAGGATGTGGACAAGCTGAGAAGGTTTCTTTTATGGGGAACCTCCACAGCATTGAAGAGTGACCTTAAAAAGGGATCTATGCCAAGTGAGTCTCATCAAGATACTAAAACACTCACTGAAGAACCACAAGAGGAGACTATGGTAGCAAAGTTTCTACGCTGGCTGTTGGCTTCGGTGATTCATGGAAAGCTTTATTCTAAAGATAATGATTTGGACCCAACAGTCTTAAGTGAAACAAAGCCAGGAACTTTACTGACATTGTTAGAATGCTTCAGGACAGGGAATATCGAAGGCAGCAAGACAAAGTCAGAGCACATAATTGGGGAAGTAATCGTACACCTCCAACAGCTTTTGTGTACAAACTACAGGGTTCTTCCCTCTGTTGTATGTGCAGTTTGTCTCATGCTTCTTCGTAATGACCTCTGGATTGCAGGTATGCTGCTTTTCACTGACTTACATGACTCTTGTTCTACGGGTTACTTGGGTCAGAATGGGAATCTATCTTGATGGGTTTTCAACTTTTGATACTGAAATGAAGCTTGCTGCATGAATCTCAGTTGGTTAGAGAATATCTGCTGAAACTAGTATTAGATAGATTTGTTCCTAGGTGTCTAATGTGCACGTGTTTCTGCCAGTCAACATCTATTATCTGTAAGTTGAAATTTTGCTATTCTTCTGCATAGGTTCAGAGTCCAAAGACGATTACAAGCTCATCGAATCTCTGTGTTCTAGAATTAGCAGTCCTCCTGAGGCAACTCTAGTCTGGAGATGGTAAACAATTCCTCTATTTTTCAATCACTTTCGAAAGCTTTGTTCACTATCCCAAAGCTTGACCTGAATTCTTCTCCACAGGTCATATTATCAGACATGGCAGGATCTTCCATCAGAACCGGCCACAGATCTGGAAAAAATCAATGAACTCCATGCGTGCCAACACCTTTTGATGATACTCTCTGATATGCTTGGAGAAAAGTCAGGGGTATCTCAACAGGTGATGCTCCATAAAAGTTTTGACATGTCGAGTGTATTTGAATGGGAAAGAGGTTTAGTTGAGACCTAGTCATCATCCAAATCAATCAGCTCTGTTATATCAATGACATAAGGTGTTTTTGATTCATTCCCCTGAAACAGTGTTGAGTTTTGCTGTATCAATGATAAATGTTACGGAGTCGGAGTCCATACAAAATCAGAGTATCTTGCAGCAACCAGAAGTTACGAGTTTGGCCACCACTCAGTAATTTATCTGAATACGAGACCATGAAAGATGAACGTGTCTGTGATCTTTATATACAAAAATATACATTATCTTATCAACAGTTTTTCACCTACTTCATGCATAGCGACACAGAAGTCATTCCTAACAAACAGACGATACAGTTGTGATTTGTTGCTTCTAGCAGTTCTTTGGTCTGTGGTACTTTGGAGGCAGAGACGGGCAGTGCTCGTTCATATGCGGGTATGGCTTCATAGTGTTGTAACCGGGAAGTTCCATTCTGTATTTCCCGAGTATTTGACAGTATGGAAGCTTCACATCGTCATTGTCATTGCACCATTTGGGGAAACGGCTTGCATTGTTCTCGAAAAACTTGAGCATGTAAGCATCTTTGATCTGTAAAAAAAAGGATTCAACTGTTCAGTGTGTGTGAGCGTGTATCTTGTAGAGTGTACATAGGTTGGTTCTCACCGTGAATTCTGTGACTTGAATGGAACTAGAGATTGGATCGAACAAGCCAGCTTCTTTGTACATTTCGAGGATGAATGCGATACAAGAAGTTGATTTCCCATCGCTATATATCCAATCATCTTGTTCAGGAACTGCCAGCAACTCGTCAAAAGAGGATCCACGCTTTTCGACTTCCACAAGTACATCAGGAAGATCAAGACCCTGTCATTTTAGAACATCTCAGAGAAAGAAC